AGTCTATGGTGGGTATGAACTATGTGAATAGGCGGGTTCGGAGAACCCTCTGCCTAAATTCACTACGTTCAATTACCCACCATAGACTCTGGCCAGTCAAAATGACTATTTTGAACTGTAGGCAGAGTCAGGTGCTGATAGATGGCAGGTTTTCCAAGCAAACAGAAAAAATGATGAAAGTCTTTTCCCAGTCCGAGATGAAAACAAACTACAATAAACTCAACACCTTAGTGAAGACCCAAGAAGGGTGGTGTCTTACCTTGCCTGTGCTGTCCCGAAGCAAGAAGCCAAAGTGCTGCTATGGTGACAGGGTTCGGTGTGCCCGAGAAAGCTAGACCCCAACCCAAGTTTGGGGGTAATAAGCTTGAAGTAAGGGTCGAAACAGTTCTGCATGAGGGCGTAGGTCGAAAAAAGCGAAATCTGGGAGCTTCCAGGAAGTGCTAGTGGTACAGAAAATCTGTCCGCAAGAATGCCGAGACTGACTTATCACCTATGCACAGGGGCCCCTGCGGTCGTTCGGGCTGGGCCGGTAATCAAAGCTTGACCCGCTACGACAGGGCCTAACCTGAAGAGACCCTGCTCAATAGATTGAGTGTCCCTTAGATAGTATTTGATGAAGACGTTCTGCGTTCTCCAGAAGCCTGCCCTCAGAATGTGTTTGAGGGGGTGCCTGACGCTAGCGCTATTGAGTTAGCAAAAGCACGGACCTCATGTGCCCGTACTTGGTGGCTCTGCAAGGTCTGTGTTGAGGAGGATAATGTACTATAGATCTCCAGTACAGTCGCAGTAATCCACCTGGCGGGCAGAGAAGCAATTCCTCATGATCCTCTGGACCGACAATATTTGACAGCTGGGGGATGACGATCAGCTGAGGATCGTGTCCTGGGATTTGGTTCTTGGCGAGAAATCCGATTTGTGTCTTTAGTACAACTTGATCGTCCATAAAGGCGACACAACTGTCCGCGAAGGACAGTGCGCCTAGCTCTGACCGGCACCTACCTGAGGCAAGAGTCAGTAGGAAGACTATTTTCCACATCAAAAACTTGAGTGGTGCTGAAAAGTGGGGCTTGAAGGGTGGTCTGCTTAGAGCTGATAAAACAACAGATCTCAATTGGGTGGTTCTCTTGTACGGGTCCTGGGCCTCTGATTATGGAAAGCAGTAAACAGTCTCCTAATAATAGGACAATCGGCTAAACTTGACCCCAAAGAGTTCTCTATGGCGAGGGACAAGGCTGACCTGTAGCCAACGATTGCTGCATAGAACAAACCTACTTTGTCAAACAGGTGGACAAAGAAGTCTGCTACCTAGCCAATAGAGGGATGACATGGATCAATCTCCATCCACTACACCAATTAGTGTATGCTCATCATTTCGAGTTGTAGGCAGAGTTGGTGGAATCCCTGTTCGCCATGGCCAGGACATTGGCAGTCCGCTTAGATAGACCTTTCGTCTGCGCGAGTCTACTGAGAGCCTCCATGCATGTAAGTGGTACACTTGCTGGGCTTGTTGGCAGTGCGCCGTCCAGTTGGGACAGCAAGTCCGGTATATCTGGAAGAACTACTGGTGTTTCGACTATCATTTCCAGCAGGTTAGCTCCACATTTTATTCCAGGCACCAAAAGAGAATTTGCTCTGCTAGAACCAACTACGATAGGGAAAGCGTCCCCCTTCCTCCTGTTGATGTAGGAGACCACCGCTGTGTTATCTGTGCGGAGCAGGACTCTGTGGTCTTGAACTTCGGGTAGAAAGCGCAATAGCGCCCAATAGATGCTCTCCCCACCCGTGGAGTGAGGCATCTGTTACCAGAGTCATAGCTCTGACGAGTGGGTCCAAGGGGACCCCCTGTCTGAGGTTGGTCAGTGACGACCACCAGGACAGGGTTTCATTCGCTTGGTCCGGGATCAATACTCGCCTGTCTAGTTCCGGTAGGTCAGCACGATGTTCCAATAACAAGTGTTGGACCGGGCGGCTGCGTAGTGCGGCCTGGGGAACTACCCTTCGAATGGAGGTCATCATTCTGATGAACCACATTAGTTCTCGGAGGGACACTGAAGGAATGCTGACTAGGTGTTCTGCTAGGTTGCTTAGCGCTAGGCAACGGCTTGAGTTAGGCGAACCTGGCCTACCTCGGTGTTGAACTCCATGCCCAGAAACACCAACTGCTGAGTCGGGTCGGGTTGGGACTTCTTCTGATTTACTAGAAAGCCCAACTGGTGAAGTAAATCCTGCGTTAGACCAGGACTTCTCACTCATGCCAATATGCACAACTCACCCTTACCCATACCGGTTAAACCTGTCGTGCGACCTTTTCGTGAGCGAGCGACGCGGTCAGTCTCGGCTATCTTTAGCATGTGGGTTCCAATCTTGTTCTGTGTACAATTGTTGCAAACCCGCCTCAAAAACTGAGGGGATAAAACTGGCGGCGAGCTTCTGGCATTGCCAGTGCATCTATCCATTCCTAAATACATTGTAAACAAGCCATGCATGGCACAGTTCCCGTTAGTTATCAAATTTACGATATATAGTTTTGTTTATAGTAATATAGCTGGAACATAACCATGTCAGGATTATGATTTTTTAACATTAAAATGACTGACATTTGTATCTGATCGTCAAACAAGTACTTGAGAGATATTGCTCTGGAACAGCATTCAAAATCAGCCATTTTGAATACATGTATATATATAACATGATGTATAACGAATATATAAAATTTGAATATAATCAGTCAAAGCATTTAAGAGTTATGGCTCTAGAACCCCAATCATTAAAGCAAAATGGCCGTCAGTCAGCCATTTTAAATCCAATCTGAAAAATAAAATGATGTGCATCAGGAACCCGTAATGTCTAATGTATGTACCAAGTTTGAACGAAATCCATCCATAAATGCCATAAATGCTTGATATTTGATGATTTTTTTAGCACAAAAATGGCCACCATTTGGCCATTTTGAATAGGATCATCAAAGCAATATAATGAATATTTAAAATTTGAACATAATCAGTGAAAACAAGTTAGACATATGGCACGAGAACCACATTCATTAAAACAAAATGGCCGCCAGTCGGTCATTTTGAATCTTATCTGAAAAACAAAATTATTTGTATCAAGGTCCCAAAATGTCTAATGTATATTCCAAGTTCGAACAAAATCCATCTGTAAACAGCCGAGAAATGCTTGATTTTAATGATTTTTAGCACAAAAATGGCTGCCATTCGGCCATTTTGAATCAGATCGTGAAACAAATTGACGTGCATATGTATAATATCATGTATGATATATGTGTGAAGTTTGATTGTGATTAGTCCAGGCATTTCTAAGATACAGATTCGAACGCACGCAGGCACACATGGAGGTCAAAACATAAGTCCTCGTTTTCGGACTGCGTCCGAACAGGCACTAATAAAAGATGACATGCATGAGGGAAACGAAATACAGTTGTAAAAGATGCCGCCGCAAAACCAACAAGTGGTTACGTAGTGGCGGCGGGTTTTGATTTCTTTGTTGTGGAAAAACATTACACACAAAGGTAAAAAAAGACAAGAAAAATTTATCCTACCAGCTAGAATGTTGGATGCCGTGGCTGTGACAAGTCACTATTTTTGGATGCATCCAAACAGACATGACATTCAACATCAATCCACCATGAATAATGTCAATAAAAGGGTAATGCTTCTGTTAGTGGCCAAAACAAAAACACATAATGTGTCTTGTTTCAATAATTGGAGTAAATAAACAATAAACTGACACACTATTTAACTTACCTCAAAAAATACTGAAATGTACACTGAATAACAAATTGCAATTTATCTACTGTTGCAATTGCTAAATCATCCATTTCAACAAAATGTGCTACACTGGAAAATTGACGGAAATGATGATCTGGTCCAATAGCATGCCTTCCTGATGGATACACTTTTTTCTCATAAACTTCTCCTGTGGAACTTTTTTCTTTCATTCCAACCTGCAACATACAGTGAAGACAGCATATTATTATGTCCAATCAAATGGAATTGAGTCCAATTAAAAGCTCAATTAGAACCAGAAGTATGTAATTTTCTTCACAATCTGTTATTACACCTCTGTCGGTGCATTTATCAACCTGATAATTTTTATTATGGTCAGCAAGCAGTCTCAGCTATTTAACTAGAATTGTT